AAAATAACCATAAAATTCAAATTCGGTCTTTATAGATATCCCTCTCCCCAAACAAAAGTAATTTTAGTCCATAAATTAAAAAAAATATATAAGTTATATAGTTTTTCGAGTTTTTAAAAGAATTTGATGTTTTGTTTGAGAAATTAAATTTAAGGGTAAACTATATAAATGATCACCCAACTATATATTTGTCTCGAAATTATCATTATTTTTAACTTTGTGTCAATATAACAATTGTATTATTTAAATGGTTTCAATATAACCACTTGCCGGTAGCATTTAATGGGAGTATTTAGTTAATAAAATTGTTATAATTAGAGTGTGAATCCTTGTAAAGTTACATATTTTGTGGCATTGTAACCCTACTTTGTTTTCTTCCATTTTGATCACTACTTGTATAAGATTTGTTTCCTTGTATTTTCATTTAATGCAATTTGACCCTGATTCTGTTTTTAATTTGTCTAATGCCTTAATTTGAGCATTACCTTTAAAATCTTTTATTCTAGTCATGTATTAAATTTATAGATTAAATCCCCTAGATTTTAGAGATAGAAATAGACAAGTGGGGACTTAAATCTAGGCCAATTGAAAATAAGATAACACTTAAATTTTTAAACAAATCTAATATATTCTTTATAATTAATTTAAGATTTTAATATTTTATATTAAATTTATTTATTTTATATTTATTTATTAATGATTATATATATACGAAATTATATTTAAAATTAAATTAAAAATTTATTTAACATACCCAAAATCACGAGTACAATTTAAAATCAAAAGATAAATTTATAATATGAATCTTAAATAATTTTTCTTATGATTATAATTTGGATATTAAATTATTTTTTAATGATTTCATATATATGAGCATTAAAAAATAAATATGAAAACAATAAATTTAGTTTAAAAATTTTAAAATCTTAAATCAATTATAAATAAATTATTATATTTATTTTAATGATTTAAGTGTTGTTATATTCCGAATTGACCTATATGTAAGTTCTCACTTATCCTTTTTTTTATCATTATATATATAATATTATAATTGATTCCTAAATATTAGATTTAGCTTAAGACTTGTATTTCGCAGGGTTGCCTTTTCTAAGACAGATATCTGAAATCTGTTGTGGAATACGGCTATCGGATAGAGCAAAATCGCAACTGATAATTTGAGAAAATAAAAATAGAGATAAAGAGGACACAAATTTTACGTAGAAAACCCCTAAATAATATAGGGTAAAAACCACGGGCAATGGTAGAAGAATTTCACTATGAGAAAATAGGAATTACAACCTCTCTCAATCTAACAAGGAGAAAACAATAAAATTCTCTCTTGATAAAAAAGAGAAAACAACTCTCAAGAAAACTATCTAAATTCTCTAGTATTAAGAGAAAGCTAGAATGATTTGGGATGATTTTGAAGCTAAATGGGATAGGGTATTTATAGTTGAAGATTAAGGACTAATCTTGTAAATACCCTAAAGTACAAGGACTAATTTTAGTAATTTTACCATTTATTATTTTAACAATTTGGTGGTCAAATTTGACTAAAATAGCCGCCCTATGCTAATTAGCCGCCCATGTATTGAATTTTCAACAATCTCCCACTTGAAGATTTGATTGGAACAATCATATCTTCAAACCATTCTTTCTACCTTGTACATTCATGTTGCTTACGTCTCTGACATGCCACAAGAGGATCGACACCAGGTAAATTTATCGACATTGATCGCCTTCGTCATGAAATCTACTATGTTTTCTTTGGTATGGATCTTCTGCATATCTACTATCCCTTCTTCCACATTTTCATGAATGAAATGGAACTGAACTCGTATGTGCTTTGTCCTTGAATGAAATGTTGGATTCCTTGCTAGATGCAAGGCACTTTGACTGTCACAAAATAGAGAGACATACTCTTGATTGTGCTCAAGCTCCTCTAATAGCATCTTCAACCAAATTGCTTCTTTACTGACTTGTGTAGCTGCTACATATTCTGCTTCTGTTGTGGATGTAGCCACAATTGACTACAATTTTGAAACCCAGCTTACAGCTCCACCAGCAATTTTGAACACATATCATGTAGTAGATTTTCTTTTATCCAAATCCTCAGCATAGTCAAAATCTACATACACATTGATTAGTAAGTTTGATCCTCTGTAATATAATGCAACATTTAAGGTCCTTTTGATGTATCTCAAGATCCTCTTTACTATATTCCAATGCTCTTTTCCTGGATTCACAATGTACCGACTAACCACTCTCACTGCTTGTGCAATGTCTGGTCTTGTGCATATCATAGCGAACATTAAACTTCCCACTACTGATGCATACGGTACTCGAGACATCTCCATCCTCTCTTCTTCACTGCTAGGACTAATACTGGAGGATAATTTGAAGTTAATAGGAAGAGGGATACAAATTGGCTTACAATCTTGCATGTTGAATCGTGACAAGATCTTCTTCAAGTAATTCTTTTGTGAAAGCCAAATCTTCCTATTACTTCTATCTCGGTGAATTTGCATCCCTAGAATCTTGTTTGTTGATCCCAAGTCCATTTCAAATTCCCTAGCTAGTTGTGCCTTCAATTCTTCAATATGATCTTTGTTGGGTCCTGCAACCAACATGTCATCCACATACAACAACAATATAACAAAATCGTTATCACCAAACCTCTTGAAATAAGCACAAGGGTCTGCATTAAGTCTGTTGTATCCAAGGCACATAATGAATGAATCAAATCTCTTATACCAAAACCTCGGCGCCTGCTTTAGACCGTGCAGAGATTTGTTCAACCTGCAAACCAAGTTTTTCTTTTCTTTTTCTTCAAAACATTCAGGCTGGAACATGTAAATCTCTTCTTCAAGATTTCCATGAACAAAAGTTGTCTTAACATCTAGCTGTTCTAGATGTAAGTTCAATGTAGCACACATTGCCAAAATTACTCAAACTGTTGTTAGTCGAACCACAGGAGAAAAGATTTCATTGAAATCAATACCTTCTTTTTGAGCATATCCTTTGACCACCAGTCTTGCACGATACCTCTCAACTTGATCGTCACCATTTCGCTTGATTTTGAAGACTCATTTGTTACCAATTGGCTTCCTTCCTTGAGGTAGTGGCACAAGGTCCCATGTATTATTTTTACGAAGAGCTTCAATTTCTTCTTGCATCGCCATCATCCACAGTGAAGCATCTGAGCTGTTTATTGCCTCCTTGTATGTTGATGGCTCATCGTCCTCTGTTAAAAGGCAGTATGCATTATTTCCTTCTATAACATAATCTGAGTGCCAATTGGAATGTCTTCTCACACGATCTGATTGACGAGTTGTTGGAGCTTCAAAACTCTATGATTCTTGTTTATCATGTGCTGGTTCTACTTCAGAAGAATCTCCTTGTTCAACCTCTTTTTCCACATGTGTAACACTTTAAATTCTTCTTGCTTCTCGACTTCGATCTACCATTTTTGTTACTGCTGTTTTGGCCACGTTCTGTTGATCTCCCTCTCATCGTTGTCAACTCTTCTTCTTGTTGTAGATTTACTTGTCTGTCTTCCTTGTTCTTGCGCCGATTTTCTTCTTGTAGAACAGCAGCTGCAACGTCATCGAAGACTAGACTGGTGACATTATTGTTTGTCTAGTTGATAATGAGTTGATCATAGGAATCAGGTAGACTTTGAAGTAGAAGTTCAACACGTTCTTGTTCTCTTATTGTACATCTTAATGATGTAAGCTGAGAAAATAAAGTGTTCAGCGTGTTTAAGTGCTCCGTCACTGAAGTAGATTATGGCATCCGGAGAGTGTACAATTTTCTCTTAAGGAAAATTTTATTGTGCAACGATGTGGCCTCGTAAAATTTGGTAAGATGATCCCATAACTCCTTAGCTATCTTTTTCTCCTCGATGCTTGACAATACTTCATCTGCTAATGCTAGATGAAAGTTTGTTATAGTATTCTCGTCCATCTTGTTCCATTTGCTTTCATCTGTGAAATCTACCGGTCTTTAACTGATAGCTGCTAGACAACCGTCTTTCCTCAAGATGGCCTTCATCTTCAATTTCTACAATGAGATATTTCTCCCATTGAACTTTTCAATATCAGATTTTGTTGTCATAGCTTCTATTACGGATAGCTCCCACTATTTCAATATGGTGAATAGTTCTCTAGAACCTTCAAAGAATGGGTAATACCTTCTTACTTTCTTATGTTGGAGGATCCACCTTTTGGTGGCAACCACAAAGACAATAAGTAGATATTACACACTCTAATCTGCCTCTGATGCCAATTGTTGCGGAATACGGCTATCGGATAGAGCAAAATCGCAACTGATAATTTGAGAAAATAAAAATAGAGATAAAGAGGACACAAATTTTATTTGGAAAACCCCTAAATAATATAGGGTAAAAACCACGGGTAACTGTAGAAGAATTTCACTATGAGAAAATATAAATTACAACATCTCTCAATCTAACAAGGAGAAAACAATAAAATTCTCTCTTGATAAAAAGGAGAAAACAACTCTCAAGAAAACTCTCTAAATTCTCTAGTATTGGGAGAAAACTAAAATGATTTGAGATGGTTTTGAAGCTAAATGGGATAGAGTATTTATAGTTGAAGCGTAAGGACTAATCTTGTAAATACCCTAAAGTACAAAGGCTAATTTTAGCAATTTTACCATTTATTATTTTAACAATTTGGTGGCCAAATTTGACTAAAATAGCCGCCCCATGCTAATTAGCCGCCCATGCATTGAATTTTCAACAAAATCTTGTTAATGAAGCAGCAATTATGTCTGTAAGTATTAATTTTATCATTAATCCAAAAATAAATGCTTTGACACATCAACAAACTACACTTCTGTTGCAACGTGCCACTTTCCCATGACTCTGTTTATGTCCATGCTTCCCAGCGATGAAGCTAGGTTGAAAATCTTTGGACTACTGTGGTGATCTCTAAGGCGATCTGAGCAAAAGTTGTTTTTTTGTTGTTTCCTTAGGCGTTGGGTTTCTGTTACCTTTAAATTTTATTGCAGGTGAGAAAAGGGCATTCCAAGATCTTCCAGCAAGATATTATTGATGTGTTAGATAAACAGTTGTTTGAAGATATGGGTGCACTCCTTACAGAGGAAGAACAACAGAAATGTGAAGCAAGTGTAAGTGCTGAAATATTCTATTCTGAAATAGTACTATAAATTGAAATTTGCAACTGTTTTTGCTTTGTTTTAATATGCCACAGACTTTAAGAAGGTTGATTTTCATATTTTCGGTTTCAAAGGTTCATATTTTACATGCAGAGATATGGTCACTGGTTATAAGATTTCAGGAAAAATCTCTTCCTAGAAGAGTGTAACCATTTGGTGGAGAGTAGTAGAAGAGTGTGGAAGAAATAATATTGCCCTTTTTAAGTTGCATTCCATTGATTATTGGGAATTTGACAATGAAAGGAAGTTGATCGTCATGTACAAAAGGACATTGTAGCTTATTTTTCTGATTTTCAGTTAATGTAACGTAGGTATCTTTTGAAAAGAAGAGACTATTGGCTGTTCATGAAGCTGGTCACATAGTTTTAGCTCACTTGTTTCCTCGATTTGATTGGCATGCGTTTTCTCAGCTCCTGCCTGGTGGCAAGGTACAAATGTTTCAACAATTGGTTTCTATTTGATGGCTTGTTATGGATTTTTCATTTGTATTTCCCTTTCTTGTTGTTTTATCTGTTTTTTACCCTTTCACAACATGAGTAGGAAACTGCAATATCCGTATTCTACCCCTGTGAGGACATGGTAGACCAAGGTTATACAACGTTTGGCTACATGAAAATGGGTGGTAGCTCACGGTGGATGTTGTGCTGAACTTGTGTTTGGTGTTGACATAACTGATGGTGGAAGGGATGATTTGGAAAAGATAACGAAGGTTATTGCCTTGATGCATTTGCTTTTTGTTATCACAGTTTATTTAAATGCATTGCTCATTTAACAAATATAACTCTTGTTTTACCTTTAGTCTCTAACTTTTGCTATTGAACATGGTTAGCCTCATGGCATTTTACATTTTCACAACTCACCTTTCAGGCATTAAGAAGGCAATTTTGACTTAGTTCTATTCTCCAAGAAATCATGTCTGAAATACTAGCTGAGCTTTCAATAAGAGTATATTTTATTTTTAAACCTTCAAATCTTGTTTTTCTCACTCAATGTATCTGTTCAGATTGCAAGGGAAATGGTGATCAGCCCACAAAATGCAAGGTTAGGGCTAACTCAACTAACCAAAAGAGTGGGGCTGTTAGATCAACCGGATAGCTCAGATGGTGAATTAATAAAATATAGGGTATAACTCTCAAGTTGTAAATTTTTATACGAACATCCTATTTCTTTTTAACTAATTATATTACCCTACTCCTTTGTTGTGCTAGTGGGATGATCCTCATGTAATTCCTGCCAATATGACGCCTGAAGTCTCTGAGCTGTTTACTCGAGAGTTGACAAGGGTAATTTTAGCTTGCTCTGTCTTTTATAACTGTTGTTTGCTATTGCGATTTGTGACAACCTACCATTAGTCTATTAGTAATGGGTGCTACTGTCTGCATAGTAGTAACAAAATATCTGGTTCCTTTTAATCTGACTCCCGTTGATCAAGAACAAAATATAGTGAAATATCTTTTTATCTGTTACAAAGAAGAGAGATTTAATTGCAAAATATGTTTTTCCTATTGTGATATTCACGTAGTACCAAATATGAACCTCTGTTGGAGCTTAATCATTTGATTACCAGATGAACTGTCTGAAATTTATCTGAAAGTATGAATTTTAGCATTTGGGGGGAAATCTCTCTGTTATATCTGATTGTGGAATTCTTAACACGTAATATTGCATTCTATTACCATACTAGGGACATAGTCTAGTTTTACCAACAAGTAGGTTTCACTTCAAAATTGATATTCAGGACCTTCAATAAATCTCAATAAAATATGTGCATGCCTTTAAGTTGTTTGTGAGTTTGGGAGTTTTGTTTGTTAAGCAGGAGCTGATTCCAACCCCCGCCTCCCTCTTAAGTATAGACCTTTCTTTGACTCCCTCTTAAGTATAGATATGAAAGACTGTTTAATTTTCCAGCATTTTAACTTCAACTGAAATTATGATGCTTGGCGTTCATGCAGTACATTGAAGAGACTGAAGAGCTTGCAATAAATGCTTTGAAAGGCAACAGGCGCATACTGGATATGATTGCAAATGAACTGTTGGAAAAGTCAAGGATAACGGGATTGGTATACTAAAAATACTCCTATTCCATATATTAGTTGAATTAATCAGTCTTGCTAATGTGTTGTCAATGATAAGTGATTAACTTAAGATAAACTCGTAGGATAGATCATATTCAGTTGAAACCTTTCAAGTTTGGGATCGTCATTTTTATAAATGTCGTTTATCTCAATAGTACAGAATTAAGGCTGAGAAATTACATCCACCCCTTTTCAATTCTTTAGTTTTTGGCATCCATTATTGCCTATTGTACCACATATGGAGCTCCTATAACTTGGCTTGGGGTTTGTGTCATACTCCCTGCTAATCTTGAATTGTTTTTCCTTGTAGGAAGTTGAGGAGAAAATTAAGGGACTCTCCAGTGAGGTTCGAGGACTTTGTTAAACCATTCCAGATCAACTTGGATGAGGTATTTTTATTTGCATTTTAACAACTATTATATTTCATTACAGCTTTGAGAATGTAAGGACAGAAAATTTTAGCAACCGGAATTTTGTTCAATTCTTTTTGCATATCTAATGAAGGCTTTATACGGACACTATTCCTTAACCCATCTACTTATGTGGTGAAAAAAGCTGTCCAGCCCTTACTGGATTTATCATTTAGGATATAGTCTGTCCGAGTTATTTATGCATTTCCCCCCCTCATTTTGTCGAAAGTTCTTGCTGTCCCTTTGTCAAACAACTAAGTTGTATTGTGAAATAGTTATTCTTTACCTTGTGCTTAATTTACTATCTTGTTAAAATGCACAGTGGGGACCTTTGCCTCATAATGATCGCTTACGATATCAACCTCTGGACATATATCCTGCTCCCCTTCACAGATGCTAATGATTCCTAGATTTAGAAAAACCCCGGGATGCAACTCTTATGGTTGTTTTTCGTTGTCGGGATACCAAGAAGCTAGTAGATATCCAGCCCCACCTCCCAAGTTCCAATAATCATGTCCCCTAACCTTGGAATTTTGATGGTTGATTGAGTGATTACATGCATAAAGGCCTCTGCCCCTTGTGAAAGCTTGCTTATTAGGATGTTCATGGTCATGATTCAAAAATTTTCCTGAAGTCCATTGGAGCTTTCATAACTGCTAAGATGTGTTGCAGTTAACTTTTTCGACACATTAGAATCTGTGTTGCTAAAACTGAGCTCAAAGTCTCAGTACTCGCCGGCTTGCCGGAAATGGCGTTATAATTCAACTTTGTTGAAGTTTTCATAAAGCAGAGTTTGTTTCAACAAAGGAAGGTGGAAATCCTTGAATTCAGCCGTGTCGTCTTCAATGAAGCAAAGCATCATAAATGTTTTCCTGAACTGTAATAATATTTTATTTTATTTATCTAAGAAGTTCGTGTCTATTTCCATTCAGGTTTACTTGTGATTCTTATTCTTAAGTGCAATTTATACGCAGAAAAAATGGAAATATGGAAAGTTGTTTGTTGTTTGATCCCTTATTCCATAATTTTGTGAGCATACTATATCGCCAAACTTCCGATGTCACTTGTTAGTGATTCAACGTGACTAAATATTTTAGTTTATTAAATACTATATTATTACTTCATGTAACTAATGTAAAGTTATTAGGGTGAGCATTCGATCGAGTCGAATAAAAAATTTTCAAGTTATTCGAGTTGAGTCGTATTTTACAACTCGAACTTGACTTGAAATTTTTTAAGTCTAGTTATTCGAGTTTCTATACTAATTTTATTATAATTATTTATAGTATTATAGTAAAGAATTGTTCCAATTCTTTGACTTTCTCTAATCATGTAATATATATATATATATATATATATATATATATTATTTTCACATTATAATGTTATTTAATATATTAAATGAAATCTAAAATTATGAAATGAATATTATATTTAAAAAAAAAAGTATTTTTGAGGGTAAAATATTGATGAGAGTATAAAGGAGTCAATGAATTGATGAGAAGAAATAATTCATAAACAATTGTAGTCAAAAGATCAATTTGAGTAAAATGCAAAGTTAAGGGACGAAATAAAGAGAGAGAGAGACAATACATTTTTAATAAATAAAAAAGTAAGAACTAAAGTTACATAGGTATTCTATTGTGGTATATGAGGATGTGGCTTAAATTTGTAAAGAAAAAAACTTAAAATAAATGATGAATTGGAGAAAAAAGGAAATTATAAATAATTGAGGGGCTAAATTGGAAAAAAAAATATTATAAAAAAGAGGAATTGAAACTGCATATGTATTCTACAATGTTTTAGGAGCATATGGTTCAAATTTGGTAAAAAATGGACTTAAAAGTAAGGAGGAATTGAAGAAATAATAATCAGGGATTAAATCGTAAAGCTGCTAAAATATTTATTCAAATTTTCGGTTTTTCGAGTAACTTGAAATTCCAAAATTTTGACTCAAACTCGAAAACCAAATTGATAATTCAAGTTTACTTTAATAACTCAAAATTGAAAAAAAAAATCGATTTTTTGAGTCGAATCGAGTTTTACTCACCCCTAAAAGTTAAGTTGTTCAAAATAATAAATACAGTTAGTTAGAATTAGGGAGTTTGTACAAAAATGATTTTGTTTTTGTTTTTATGTTATTGGGTGAAACTTTCATAAATATTTTTAATAACTTTATATACTTATTTTTACGTTATAAAAATAAAATTTAATTATAACTAAATAAAATAAATTTTTGATTTGAATAATTATTGTTTTGAAACTTACAAATTATAGATCCTCACGCACTATAGTTTGAGTTAATTTTCGATTTTTCAGTTTCTTTGGTCTTAATTGAATATCTCAATTATTTTGATGATAATAATAATAATAAAAGTTCATATTATAAATTAAATTATTTAGATAATATTGAATATATAAATGTATTGAAAATTGATACGAATATTTTTAATTTAAATTGAAACGTTTTTTGAAATGAGTGGCGTTACACCCTTAACAGAAATTAATGGTGGAGTGATTGTATTATAATAAATTAACAATATTAACATCATAATAGAACTTTTAAAAGATTAAAAATATAAATGAAAATTATTTAAATATGAGTGGCTATTTATATATAAAAATAAATCAATGGGGCCGGTAACGGATTTAGAAACCTTAACGAACCACTAGAGAGCCCTAACATCAATCCACGTCATCCCCTATTTTTAAAATCTGTGGATTTCCAATCAGGGTTTTCGGATAAGATGGACGGTGGAAAAATCAGTTATTTTACGTATTATCTTGTTTTTATTAGTAAGCGGGAATAAAAACAGATTATTTAGGGTAAATTACACAGTGCGTACGTTCGTTTCATATCTTATTTTTAAAAGTTATATTTTGATCATTTATATTATCAAACCAATCTCAAAATGATTATTTATGTTATTTTTTTATTATGATGATTCAAATATTAACTATCGTTAAATTAATTATATAACATTTTAAAAAAAGAGATTAATATTTAATTTAACATATGAACATTAGTTAAAATATGAATATATTATTTTTATCCATAAAATTAGAAATAAAATAACTCTTTTTCTCCGTGATCTTCACCGATATAGTCATCAATTCCCCACTATTTATTCAATAATCATCATCAAACAATTGTTTTTCTTCTTATCTATTTGTATAGGTTTTCTAAAATAATCAAAGATTATTCTAAAAAATTGATTGGAAAACCAAAAAAAAAAGGAAAAAAGAAAAAGGAAGAGACGAATTTTACTAACATTACTATGTAAACAGAAGTAGAACGACAGTTGAAAGATTACATAAAGATAGGGTGACTAGAGTTCTTAACAAAAAATAAGAGAAGAAAAAAATAAAAAAATATATAATTAAAGTTTATAAATTAAATTATAAAATAATCTTTTTTATTAATATATCACGTCATCAATCTAACGACACTTAAACATTCAAATAACCATTTATGTTATAAATCAATAACATAACTTACCTTTTGAGATAGCATAAGTTTATGATAAATCAATAGTATGACTGATTAAAATTTAATTTTGAAAGGTTGAGTGGTCAAAATCATAAATAAAATAAAAGTGACCGGTTAACCATTATTTTAATTCAATTTTAGAATCATTTGTGTTGTCTGTAGCTCTGAAAATGTGCACAAATCAGTGTGCTGCGAGGCTTTGCGGAATCTCGCGTAGTTGGGTTTATCCGTTCATTGTGGCAGTTAAATAGCCGCTTTTCTAGGGTTCTTTATCTTTCTCCTTTCCTTCTTTACCCTACTTCGTTTTCTCTTCAATCCAGGTATGTTCTTCCCTCCTCTCTTCTACTCTATCATTTCCCTTTATGTTTTGGCTTTAGATTTTTGTTTGATCATTGCACTTTTGACTTCTTTTTCGGGTTGGTTTTGCCTTTTGATACTCTTAAGATCTGTTTCCATGGTGGATCTTCTTTGTTAAGCTGGGACATATCCTTGTTTTTCATTTGCAACTTAGAAGAAGAATCCAAGTAACTTGAATTTACTTGACACTTTGGACTGGGATTCATGGAATCTTATTTTTAGAATGATGGAATGGATTCTTTTTGAAACTTTCTAGCATGTAAGATGTGGTATCAAGTTATGTGCTGTCATTTGTGTTGTCCCTGTTGATTAGACGATTGGAATAATTTCTTATGTGTAACATCTGCAACTACAAGTCTACAACAGTTTCTCTGCTAGATTTTTAACTGATCACTTGTAACAGGTAGAATGCAACGAGCAGTTCAAGCTTTTTCGGTGCATGGAAACACCGTGAAAAATGCGGTCTTGCATCGCATTCGGGTTCTCAATCCTGTTACGCGACCCGTTATGTTTTCCAGATCAGTGTCATCTGCTAGTATGGAAGAACATGGCTTTGAAAGCACAACTATTTCAGACGTTTTGAAAGCCAAAGGTAAAGCTGCAGATGGCTCCTGGCTTTGGTGCACTACAGATGACACTGTGTACGATGCGGTGAAGTCGGTATGCGTCTTTACAATTTTAGTAGATTCTCAGCTTCTTCATAGAATACTTGATTTACATGCTTATTGAGTTCAATCTTTTTCAGATGACTCAGCACAATGTTGGTGCCCTGGTAGTTGTAAAACCTGGAGAGCAGAAATCAATTGCGGGTATCATCACAGAGCGAGGTAGTTAACAAGTACACCTTGATAAAATCAATTTGGCACCAAGATTTTAAATTTTGAATGAATGGATTTAGTAAACTTATGCTAGGACTTTTGTGTTATTTGTCGCGTATTAGTTGATCTGAATCAAACAAAACTGAGGTCCGTAAGATTAAAGCAGATTTTAAAACCTATAAGCTAAAGCATGCTGATAGTTAGGTTGTCCCATCCCAAAATCACCCTTCACCTTTGCCATTGAATGCAATTATTAACTTAGGTGTGGATTTTTCTTCTAGCTCTTTCATGTCAAACAATCACAGACTGCCCTTTCTTAAGCATTGCATATACCAAATTTAGGGCGCCCATCAAATTCTTTCTGCTCTGCTAAGATTATAATTTGCTTCATTTTGCGTTTCTTAACTATTAAGAAGAGATTTTTAAGGATTTTGTTGGTGTGGTACAGTTTTGATTCTTAGTTTATTTCTGCTGTTTGATGTTATACTTGCAGATTACCTTAGGAAGATAATAATACATGGAAGATCATCCAAGTCAACTAAAGTTGGGGACATCATGACTGAAGAGGTATTGGTTTTTTGGCTTTTATTCAAGTAAATTCATAGGCTTACTTCCATCATATATGGCTTATCGTTTAGATGTACATATATTCCATTTTGCTTGTTTTCACAATTCTAAGATCGTATTATTTGATGGTTGTAGAACAAGCTCATCACGGTCACACCTGAGACCAAA